TTCTGACACACACACACACAACCATTCCAGCTGTTAAATCAGAATCATTTTCTCCTCAAGGAATCAGTCTCAAGATTTTCTTTAATCATTTGCAGTGAATTAAGAACATACTTCTCTCTCTACGGGAGTACTAAACTGTATGAAGAAAAGTTCATACACACAGTTAATAAGAGAAAATATCCAAAACTGTATGGGTACTTTCACAAACAGGAAATTCAAGAATGAGTATTAGATAAAGTATCTATCTATCTATCTATCTATATTTTTTTTTTGTATATGTCTTTTACAAAGATTTTGATGAAATATATATATATACACACATATACATACTACAATGAAATAGTCTTTACTTGATCAAACAGAGTAAAAACAGAAATATAGACCTTTCCATTCTGACACACACACACACAACCATTCCAGCTGTGAAATCAGAATCATTTTCTCCTCAAGGAATCAGTCTCAAGATTTTCTTTAATCATTTGCAGTGAATTAAGAACATACTTCTCTCTCTACGGGAGTACTAAACTGTATGAAGAAAAGTTCATACACACAGTTAATAAGAGAAAATATCCAAAACTGTATGGGTACTTTCACAAACAGGAAATTCAAGAATGAGTATTAGATAAAGTATCTATCTATCTATATTTTTTTTTTGTATATGTCTTTTACAAAGATTTTGATGAAATATATATATATACACACATATACATACTACAATGAAATAGTCTTTATTTGATCAAACAGAGTAAAAACAGAAATATTGTAAAATATTATTACAATTACTAATTACTAGTAAATAGAAATAGCTATGCTCTATTTTATTATATTTTAAAATGTAATTTATTTCTGTGTTGGCAAAGCTGAATTTTCAGCAATCATTACTAGTCTTTAGTGTCACATGATCTTTTAGAAATCATAATAACATTCTGGTGTTTGCTGTTCAAGAAACATTTCTTCTTATCACGGTTTAAAACGGTTGTGTTGCTTAATATTAGGGCTGTGCAATTAATCGCATGTGATTGTCAAGCGCATCTTGTCAGTAAAGCCGGTTCCGTGATTGGTAGTAAATCTCCATCACCTGCTTTCAGATGGAGCGGCATTTACTACACAGAGCCGTAGTTCACTGACAAGCTAGGCAATATCACGTTCATAATCGAATGCGATTCATCTGCGATTATGAACACGATATTGCCTAATTGTCAGTGAACTACAGCTCTGTGTATTAAATGGCTCTCAACCTGAAAGCAGGTGATGGAGATTTACTACCAATCACAGAACCGGCTTTACTGACAAGATGCGCTTGACAATCACATTCGATTAATTGCACAGCCCTACTTAATATTTTCATGTAAATTGTCATACCTTTTTAATTTAAAGAACAGCATTTTTTGGGAATATAAATATGTTGTAACATAAGAAATGTCTTAACTGTCACGTCAGTTTAGTTTCAATTAAGTTTATTTTGTCATTGCTAAATAAATATATATATTTTTAAATCTTACTGACCCCAAACATTTGAACAGTTGTGTATATTGAGTATATGTAGTATAACTTTTCCTGAAAATACTGTATCAGTGCTTCATACGGTGTATTTTCTTTATTTGTGTATGTATATAATGTTCAACATACAGTACAATAGGTTGGATAATGAAGAAGCAAGTCATCTAAATAATAAGCAAACTCTAAGACTGATGATTTCTTTGCAGTCAGAGTTGCTTCTTAATTTGCCAAAAAATTTATAGATTTGCTTTCTTTATTAGAGAAATCCTTTGGTTGTTACCAGATATGACTCACAGGCAAAACAAACGCATTGATTGTAGGACCGTCCACCACATGGACCGTCCAGGGGACAGAGGTAATCTCAGCAATGTCCCGGTTTCTCTCGGCCAGAATCCGAACCACTAACTCCACCGCCTGATGCCAGGGATCCGATCGAGCGATCAGAGAATCCTTAAACTCCTCCATATACTGAGATAGAGAACGAAGGAGAAAGAGGAGCAAGAGTCCATGAAATCAAATGGAATTCAATTAAGTGATTTGTGAAATGAAACACCACATTTCATTTTCATAACATCCAATTGCACCAAAAAAAAAAACTAATTCACACAAATCATTTTGGACCAGCCTGAGGCATGTTGTTCTTGAAATATTGTTATTGATCCTAAATTCATATGAAATTAACTGGTTGCAACCACACAAAAAAATAAATAACTGAAAACAGACTAAACCAGTTGTGTGGACATGACTAAAACCTACTCCGCTTCCGCAGTGACCTGAGCCAGTTCCATAAAGTTCTCCCTGCTGAACACCAGCAGTCGGGTCCTGCCCGTCACTGGAGATTCATCCAGATGAGTGAATAAAAAGAGGCAGACGAAGAACAGCAGTCCTGTCCCAGCTCCCACAAAGTGCCAGCGTCGACACCATGTCCATTCACGAAACAGCTGCTTTTTATTGGGTGGCAGAGCCAACCACCATTTTCTAATACTCCTAGAGACACAGAGAGAGATACAAATTAAATCAGAATTTTTATCATTATTAAACCTTAGCTCACTGCCTCACCCTCACACAAAAACAAGAACTTTGGTGTCATGACCTGCCATATGCTCCCCATTTAAGTAACCACAGTATAAATAAGTGCTTGGAGACAGTACAAGCCAAGGACTTTGGTAGATTTCTGCTTTGGTTTTACATAACATGCAGAACATCTGGTGGATTTTCTGCAGGTTATGTGAAGCTAAAGCATTTTGTCAACTGTTCTGGATTATACATTCCTTAAATGTGCATGTTCACTGTTTTTTTTTTCCTTTTCTTTTTTTGGAAAAAAAAAACTTTTATTCAGAATGCATTAAAAGGATCAAAAATGACAATAAAGAGGTTTACAATATTACTGCTATATGTATGATACATTAACATGTATTTAACTAGTTGATGAATGCTTCGAAGCAAAGCTTCTTTAAGCTTCGAAACCTTAGCGAATCATTTGTATCGAACCAATGGTTTGGAGCGCATATCAAACGGCCAAAGACATGCGATTTCAGTTACCGAGGCTTCGTTACTTCACAACTGTTTCGAAATGTTTCAGTGGTTTGTATACCGGCCTCATATTTTAAGGATATATATGCTAATTGCAATTTCAATAAAACATTTGCAATGGGTTCGTAAAAACTGTTTTTTTGCATCTATTATTTTTTTGGACTGAGTTTTTGTTGCAGATATGCCGTTTTGCCCAGCAGGCGTCACTAGCGTGTGGTGTATCGAATGCTTCGAAACAGTGAGTCATGTTTGTTCAGAAGATTCGAAGCTTCGAAAAGATTCGTTTCTGCCACCGCTACTTTTAAATTCTGATTTCACCGTAAAATTCTAATTGATTTCGTGTAAATACAGTTTCAAATATATTTAGAAAAAAGCATATAGATACATTTTGTAAGTTATGTAAACATTAAGATCAGCTAATTATTGGGGATTGGGAAAAAACTACTGAATGGATATAAAATATTGCTACTACTGTATAATCGCTGACCATAACTAACAATATTATGAAACAAATATTTATCTACAAAGAATATATTTATCTGACAAATTTTATATAAAAAAAATTGTATAGATTTAAATATTGGCCATCCTATTAATTATCAACCATTGTATTCATGTATATAAATAAAGCCAAATTTAGCAACACCACTTTTAGCTCTTAACTGATGCAGTGCGTAGATTTTATTTCTTAAACAAACACATCAGAAAATGTACCCATGTTCATATTCCAGGAGGACAATGCAAAGATTCATCAGGCTCAAATTATGAAAGATTGAAATGTCTTTGGGATGTGCTGGAGTCGACTTTACACTGCCTGCCCAAAAAAAGTTGCACACTCCAATATTTTGGACCACCTTTCACTTTGATTACATTGTTTCAACAATGTTATGCAACATCATAACATTTCTAATAGACTTCTAATAGGGTTAAGCTCAGGACTTAGTCCTCATGATGCCCAAATCACTACTGCACAATTTGGGTCCAATTAATCTTGACATTGTCATGCTGAAATAAGTACATAGGTATGTCTTCCAACATAGTTCAGAAATAAAAAGCTACACAATCAGGATTAAAAGAATGGTTGCAAAACGCATAAGCCAGAAACATATTAATCACTGCAATAAAGATTAAATCTTATACTCTTGACTGTTTGCTTTTTTTTTGCCCAGGCAATGTATTGTATCATATCATAGGCATCAGCATTGGCCATAATTCTTGGTGCATCACTCTTGCTAGTTAAAACCTAGAGCTGTTCACTGATTCACCAGCTTCATCTGTTCTTGACAAAGGCTGATGGCTGAAGATGGGGAGGTATGTCATTCTTATAAAGGTTATTAAGTATTTGTTTAAAAGAAACCTCACCTGCCCAGTATGATGGCCATGAGCTTCTGCAGTGGCTTCAGCACCATCCATATCAAGGGTGCAGGTAAAGCTCTCAGTCTGCCCGAGGTGTGAAACTCCCGCGTGGACTGAATGATGAACGGATGAACTGGAGGTCTGAATGCTGTTATACAGATGCTGAGTCTTGATCTCAAACAGAGAGATGAAAGAGAAACTGTGACAGATCCTCTTGGTTTCAGAGATGTAGATGAGTTTGTCCTCATGAGATCAGTCCGAGCAGAGGCGAAGAGTGACGGACGCTGTCTCTGTCCACACCATCTGACCACTGAATCAACACGGTTTAATGACCTTATTCTGGACAACATGTTGAGTTTGACCAGGTGAAGACAAATCTGCTCCATTGTTATTATAAAATACACTGAACGTTCAACTTTACTCTTGTTTGCGTAATAATTACAATGATAAGCTAAGTCATAGTTTGTAGGTTATATGGGCACATTATGCATTTAAAATTCACATATTATGAAATGCTAACGTGATCGAAATTAAACAGTAAAAAGGACAGCCTTTGCCAGAGTTAACATTTCGTTTTTACTCAAATTGTGTTACTCCAATTTCAGTTAATCTTTTTCAGAATACTTTTATTTATAAATGGTCACAAACACTTTCTTGAACACTGTGATCAAACTGAATGACAAAATGTCATCAAACTACAAAAAAAAAGAAAAAAGTTAACTTTAAACTTTAATTTTAAATAGAGCTTTGTGGTTAAACTCAACTTTCATGAAAACTATATTATAAAACGTACATAACAAAAATCAACATGAATGCAATGTTACACAATTTTGTACAACGCATGAATGATACACATGTCCTCCGCAGTAGCAGGTTTCTTTATAGTATGTTTTTACCTTCAGATTGTTAGGTTTATTGTTATTATTTACAGGGTAGTAGGGTTGATAGACTGTGTAACAGGTGCATCCTCTTTTTCATTACAGCTTTTAACATGGTCGACAGGTCTTGTAGTTACAGTTCATCTGGGCTGTCAGACTCAGTAACACACGTCTCATCCGTGGCATGGCTGCTGTTGATTGGCTCAGAGGAGATGAATGACAGTAACTGAGGCTGTGTTACCGTTTCATGAAGATGAGAGGAAGAAGAGCCGGTCTCAGGGAGAAAATGTGTAGTAAACAAGGTTTCTATCTGTACCAGGAAAGTCTCTATGTCAATCTCTGAGACCTGCTCCAAAGTCTTCCGGATTGATGTAAGCATCTACAGACAGACAAAACAAATAATAGTTAACTATAATGAAAAAAAATAAAAAGCAGAACTATTATTTAGCAGAACTCATTCGACTAACATGTCAAATAAATGCATTTAAATTCACCGTGAACCATTAGAATTAGTTTTTGTGGATATCCTACCAATTACCTCAAAGAAAACACTGAATATCTTTCAAAGCTTTCCTCAGTTCATGTAGGCCATGCCATCCTCTAGTGTACTCAGAAGTGCTTTTGACAGCAGTGTGAGAACCTTGTTTCTTGGTAGTCATGCAATCAGGTTAGCCAGCTTGTCTGAAATCTTTTGCCATTTTTATGTGCAATATCTGGGCGGTCTGTGGGTGTGATGTGAAGTCTAGATGAGACGTATTACCTTTTCCAGGCAAGTTAGAGAAGAGTGTCTGCGGAAGAGCCTGTCCATTGGTACACTCCTGAAAGAGGAATTAAATATTATTACCATTTGTCAGCCCAATATACAAAACTGCACATAATTTCTAATATTCATATTAGGTCTCACTACACCCAGCTGCCTGTGACTGAGAAAAGTGAACAGCATTGCTGGATGATGTTTTTAACATGGCAAATTTCATCATTGTAAAAATTGATAATGTATTTTAAAGCATAGTGACATATTATTATTATAATTTAAAATTTTCACTTTCAAATTTGAATATATTTTTAAATGCAATCTATTCTTCCAGTGATGGCAAAACTGAATTTTCAGTATCATTACTCCAGTCTTCAGTGTCACATGATCCTTCAGACATCATTCTAATATGCTGATTTGCTGCTCAAGATGATGATTTCTTAATATTTTCAATGTTAAAAACAGTTGTGCTGCAAAATATTTGTGTGGCAACTGTCATACTTTTTTTAGGATTATTTGATAAACAAAAAGTTGAAAAGAACAGCATTTACTTGAAATATAAATCTTTTATTACATTATACATTTCTTTACCATCACTTTTGATCAAATTAATGCATCCTTGCAGAATAAAATTATTTGTCTTCCCCCCAAAAAAAAAAATCTTACTGACCCCAAACTTTTGAATGCTGTATGGTCTTTAATTTCTCTAAATGGTAGCAAGCTTTATTAAAGCTGGAAATAATGTAAAATACTACTAATACAAATACTAATAGACAATGTTAGAAATACTCTACATTCAAATATTCTGAATAATAAGTAGTGTTTATTTTATATTAATATAATGTCATTTGAGGCTAGTTTATGGAAATGTGAATAACATGCAGTGTTTTGTAACTTTGTAACATTTTCATGTATTCTTGCTTCCCTCTTACAGTCAAAAACACACAGCTCACCCATGAGACAGCCTGTACTTGAACACCACCCATTCTGCTCTTCTCATCACTTCTGACCAATCAAGAAGCTCAGATGAATACTGGATGTTAAATCGGTATGGAAACCCTGAAACACAAACCACAAACTGATTCAAATTCAGCTGTAGCTGGGCCTAATTTATTATTTACACTAGGTGCTGCTGTGACATACTCTGTGGTCCAGAGGGTCCGGTCTCCTCCTGGACCAGCAGACAGGTGGTCTGAGACAGGGGAGATGGGTTACTTGAGTTATACGGGCTGACAATCATCCCGATGAATGGAGCACCTCCTCGAGAGAAATAACTCTGCCATAGAAACAGACAGAGAGGATGTGACACGTAACCAAAGACACCATCCTATTCCAACTACAATATAATACAGTGATGTGTTACCTGGTATTTGGCCTGAGTGTCAATGTCTCTGAGGGAGGGGTTGGGGTCGAAGGCTGGATGAGAGTGGTACCAACCCACCACACTGTGACCTTTGACCCCGAGCAGCTCCGAGGCCTGAGTCTGAGAGACGGGGTCCATCTCACACTGCAGACCTGTGCTCAAGCTGTTGCATGGCTCTGCTGCACAGATCTGCACAAACATCAGCAAAATGACAAACAAATCAACAGGCATTTATTGTCACAGCCGTCCGAAACTGATTGAAAAAAACAGACTCAGTTCAATGAATCCATGAATGAACTGACCTTTAACACCTTCTCTTCATCTTCATATGTTCCTCCTAAAAGGCCAATCACCTCTCCCATGGATACATGAGCATGCTGGGAATGGATTCAATTATTAGTACAACATAATACTGAGGAATGAATGAAAATGCAAATCTGGAAACCAACACTGTGTCATACTTACTATATCCATGACAACAAGAGCCTCAGCACAAACTATCACTTTGTATGGTTCCTGAGACACAACAGACAAAATAAGTCTGATGAAATTCATTTCTATACAACAAAATAAACTGCAGTGTTGTCACTAGGGTGGCCCATAAAATATCCAGGTTTTGGTTTTGTTTTCCTGTTTTCATACTTGCTGAATGTAATGATCGAAAAGTAGTTTGACCAATAACGTGCAGGCATTGTGCATGATCGACCAATCATAGTGCGTTAGAAGGTGGGTTCTACAGAGAACGGTCAAAGTGATGCAAATATGCGTACATATTAGGTGTGTTCGTTTGGCTTGAAGCGGAGCTGTGCAGATCGATCGTTGTATGACATCAAAGTACCGCGAGAGCGATACAAAAGCACTCTCTATAGCTCTCGTGGATGTCATACAATGATCGGTCTGCGCAGTGCAAACAGACAAAACCTGGATATTTTAGGCACTATAGAAATCATGGCCAAGAAAAATGTCCTGTAAAAATGGCACATATGGTCACCCTAGTTATGACTGAGATACGATTATAGATTTTATTATTAATATTTTGAATTAGTTTCTATTTTCCTATTTTCATTTTAAAGTTATTTAACGTTTTAGGAATTTCGTTTTTATGTTTTAAATAAAACAAACAAAAAAATTTTTTAATTTGCATTATTTTTTCAGTTTTTGTTTTTTAGTACATCAAATTAGAGTTGGGCAGATGAAGCCTTGTGAAGCCTTTGAGGCTTTTCCTGATTGTACCAAAAAAAGATTGGTGGAGGGAACACCAAGCATTTCGCGTCTCCTTATAACGTGCCAAAGATTCGAATCAGTCACCTCGCTTCAGGTGTTTCATTGTGACGTATGAAGCCTCAAACGTCATCGGTCACGTGATCATGGAGATTTGATACAAGCCACGACAGTCTTTCGAACCAGTCTGCTTCAATAGAGTAAAACAGGCTTCAGAGCCTCAGTGTCAAACGTCCCATTTCTACATCAAATTAAACTAAATGAAAATGAGAAATTGAAATAAAATAAGTTGAAATAAAATTAATTGTCAACTACCTGAAATAAGTTTATTTCATTTATTTTGTTGCAGTAAATGTTTATTTTATTTCAAGTAACTTTTTTTTATGATTTTAGTTTTAGTTAACTATAATAACCCTGATGAACATAAATTATGAAGAGGAATTACAGCAGAACTGGCAAAAACTAGCATTTAGGTGGCACTTCACGCTTGAATTGTTTCAATGATTCAAAAATTCCTAATTCTGGAATTTACATGACGGCTGGAACACACTACATGACTTTTGCCTAGATTTTTGCCCTGATTTACAATCTAGAGAACTCAACACTAGTTGCCTTTAGTCATAGCCAGCCAGCTGATGATACCCAGTTTTTATCTGCAAGCACTTACAAAGTCGACAAGTGTGTGTGATGGCTAGTGTTTTAAAATCTGTATTCCAGTCTTAAAGGTGAGGGGGCATGATTAATAGTGTTTCTTTTTTATGATATTTTTAGAATTGTACTTTTTTCAAATTTTTATACATTAAAAGACTGGTCAAAGATGTTATTAAAAAAGAATAATATTTACCTCTGTTTCCTCTCCAAAAGCTTTGCATGGAATGAGCTGGAATGGATCAATCAGAGAGCTGCAGAGAACAAAGTCATGGAATGAATTCAAGATGTGTCAATCAAAAGCCTATAAACAAGATCATTAAACAAAAGATCTAGATGTTAAAGGTTTCCGTTTTGTTAGTGAGCGTGTGTTTACCCTCTCTGTTTGGGGAGTTTAGATGGTTTTGGTCCTTTCTTCTTCATTTCCTCTCTTCTGATGGCCAGCTCCTCTGCGCTCAGATGCTGGATGACAAAAAACCCACACAAATCAGGGCTCAATAATGAGAAAGTGTAAACAAAAAGTATTTTCGGTAACACTTTACAATAAGGTTCATTAGTTAAACATTAGTTAATGTATAAACTAACATGAACTAACCATGAGCAATACATTTGTTACTGTATATACTAATCTTCACTAAACGTTAGTTAATAAAAATACAGATGTTCATTGTTAGTTCATGTTAGTTCACAGTGCATTAACTAATGTTAACAAGATTTTAATAATGTGTTAGTAAATGTTGAAATTAACATTAACAAAGATTAATAAACGCTGTATAAGTGCAGTTCATTATTAGTTCATGTTAACTAATGTAGTTAACTAATGAACCTTATTGTAAAGTGTTACCA